ACGATTTCCAGTAGCCCCAAGGTTGCCCGGCCGCCCATCTTTCCCTCTCCGGCTGTCTTCTCGCCTTGCTCTCGGAGCCTTGCTTTTCCTAACACTGAGGAAGCAGCCGCAGTCAGAAGGCCACATCCAAGGTCTCCCTGTCTCTTCCCTGCCCACAGTCTGACCGCCTCGGGTCTCCATGGGTGGACTGTGCCTGAGCCTTCCAAGCTCCACCCCCTCCACCCCAGCGGGAGCTTCCAGCCCCTCCACGGCTAAATGTGGTCCAATCAATCAATCAATCGTCTATCTCCTCACTCCTTCCTATCAGCGCGCAAGCAGGCTGCGGCAGTTTCACCTTACAACACTCCTCTTGAGACCTGCCTTGAGAGCTACCTCCCCATTTCTCTGCCACTTTGGCATAAAACCTCAGCCGGGTGTGCACACTTGCCGGTCTCCAGGTTTGCCCCGGGCCTTTCATGAACCCCTCCACTGAGGTGAACACCCCCTGTCCCACTAAAACATCTGCCAGGGTCACCAGGAGCTCCAAGTGCCAAACCCAGCAGCTTGCAGGCCTGGTCTGTGTGTCAGTGAGCTCGTGCACACAGGGCTGTAAGCGCTTCCTAAATCCGAGGGGCTTCCATGATCACGTAGCAGCCGGTACACTTCTGAAACCATGCCAGCCTGCCCCTGCTGTGACAGCTCTCTCTGCCCATTCCTGTCTGGGAGACCCTGCAAGCCTAAGTGTAGGGCCTTCCATGTGTCCCTGCCCTGGCACCCTGTGTCCAGAAGGCTACAACAGGGCGTCCTTTGCAACACCTTTGCAGACACCAACACCAGCGTGTGACAGGGACGAGAGCAGTGGTGTGGGGCTGGGCCACACATGGCCTGTCTGTGCTCCACTGTCCAAATGAGCAGGGCCTCACCTGCCGTGTCGCTGTGAGAAGGTGGACAGATGATGGCATGTTGACCACCATAAGCTCCATGAGGACCAGGACTGGGCAGGGATCAGGGGAGGGGCAGGACAAGTCAGCGCACTCCCAGATACGGGGATGTCACCAGGCCGATCTTTGAAAATGTGGGGAATGGAGGTACACTCTTAGAGGGCCTCGCGTACATTTCAAAGGGAATACAGAATGAAGATCATCCCCAACCAGCCGTCTCCCCTGCATGTGTCGGCTTTCACCACCTCCCCCTGCACAAGGACCTCCGCTCCACGTCTCCTGTGCTTGGGACGGGAGCCTCCCCGACCCTGCGTCCCAGGCACCACCTCCGTGTGAATTCAGATCGGCACAGTTCAATGAGCTCACAGCAATAACCAGTCACACCAGCACGTGTTATTAAAAGGAATTTAATAATCTTAATTAAAAACTCTTAACAGCGAATTCCATCACAGGCCTTGGCAGCTGGAAGCAACTCCAGGGTCCTTTGCCCCTTTGGGATGTGGCCGGGTTGCGGTCTGGGGCGTGAGGCCCACCGCTGCCACGTGCCAAGGAGCCATCTGGACGTTACTTCAATACAATATCAAAGGTCCGCAAGGGTTTTTTTTTTTTTTAAAAAAAGGTTTTAAATATATTAGACTCTCTTGATTGCCATTTTTACACAAAGCTGCTGATACAGTATACAGAGTTTTAACTTTTTTTTTCACATAAAATACATTTTTCCGAAGTGTTCTCTGTACATCAGTGGCTTCTGGTCTGGTGAGTTATTGCGGAGGGCTGGGGGTCTGCAGACTTTTCCTGGGTGTGCAGAGCCAGGCCCCGCACAGTGGCACTTGCGATGCCCACAGGAAGCAGGCCCTCCGGCCAACGAGAGACTCCGGTGAGGAGAGGGCTCTAGCTTGGGCAGAGGGTCCCTCCGCGGAGCTGCCCACTGGCCACGGGACCGTCTGTTCTTATGTGCCTTGGAGGCTCTCCCAGGCTACAAATAGTAAGAGCTGAATTCAATCCTTCCGTCACCTAGCAGGAGCACCCTGCTGGGAAGCTCCCCCAGTATCCTGCTCTGAGAGAGCAGGTGGGACAGAGAGCTCTGGATGGAAAAGTATCCAACACCAAGAACCAATCGGCCTGGTGCCAGCAAACTGCATTGGGACAGGCCGGGGGCAGGAGGCACGCCCTTCCTAACTTCTCTAAGCCCTTGAAACTGATGGAATAGTGCAGGGCGGTTTTGCTAACGCTGCATATTGGGTGGACAAGTACCTCCTGGAGTCTTCTCTAGACCCGGGCCTCCCTGGCTCAGCTTCCCAGAGCTACTGGCCAGAAGCTCACAATCTGGCGAGAGCCACAATTTTCGATATTTTAAAGAATAAGGTGACAGCAAGGACCACAGCTCGCAGCGAGCCATGGGACACCTGCTTGGGAAGTGCCTCCTTTAACCTGCCGGGGACCATCACCAGACCTGGGTCTCTTGAAGGTTTCTCCTTAATCCATAATCCTCACCTGCCAGCGAGAGGCAGATTCACAACAGAGGCTCCATGTTCAAAGAGGAAGCTGCCTTTCCTCCCAATATCCCCTGGTGGGGTCAGGGGACCAGGTAACAAACGAGCAAACAAGGGCAAGACAGTGACTTCAAGAACCTGAGATGCGTTTGGCAGCAAACTGCAGACTCCTTGTTCTTCTAGAAGAAGGCAGACTGCTTCATGCAGTCCCCCCGAGATGCTGCCGGGAAGGCAGCTACCCCTGAAAATTCCACAAAGATCTGGGGTGGCGCCCGCCTGGAACCCAGGCCCCAGCATCTGCACCAAGGCAGCTGTTTGCCAGCTAAAGGAATTCACACTCTAAGGATTCCAGGAATTGAGAAGCACAAGGAAGGACGCTGGACCGAGATGCAGTCACTCTGCTGACCCATGGTCCTTGGGGGACTGGAAAGAGCGGTTTCCCTTCTCTCTCTCTCTCTCTCTCTCTCTCTCTCTCTGCAGAAGCTGACACAGTGCCTGGCACGCTGAGGGGAATCAGTTATATTAAGGGATCAATCGATGGCCTTGGCTCCTTCTTGGAGATCTCTCCCCAACTTGTCCCTCAACATTCAGGACACCCACAGGAACAGTTTCCCAGGGATGTGAGGCCCCCACAAGGCATGGTTTGACCTTGATGGAAAACTTGAGTTGATGCCCAAGAGTTGCCTCTGCCTGAAGTGGGCTGCGGTTGGGAAATCGACTGGGATCCCAGTCTTGCAGGTGGAGAGGAACTGGCCCCAGAGGGAGAAAGAAGAGGGAAGGAAATGGAGAGAATGCTTGGGGAGCTCAAGGAGGCAACAGGTGCCTCCAGTCTCCACCCTCCCTACACACACCCTAGCAGAAAGATGAGAGATCTGCCCTGCCTTGTAGCTCAAGTTAGCTACTCGAGAGGGACTTTGGTGTTGGTCTGAACTGAGCACTGTGTTAAAGCCAACGACGTGCTTTGGATTATCCTGCCCTGCTCCAGCCACAGGCTGATGATGGGGAGCCTGCCCCAGACCCCAGGACCTGGGAGGCCTCACGCACACCTGCCTTGTCTCCTGGGCCACCCCCTCCAGCCCTGCCTGCATCCAGCAGCAGTCACTCCCACCAGCCCTCTGCCCTGTGGCCCAGGTGCCAGCTCCTGGTAAGGCATCAGCCCGTTGCCTGCAGGTCCAGCTCCCTCTCTGACTCCAGGGGCCATGGAGGCCACAGTAGGGGACCTAGACTGACGGGCAGCAGACCCCATTACTAGGTTGTGGCACGAGGGGCGCTAGTCCAGCCCCAGTCCCCTGGCCCAGGAGCCCCTCAGGGAGAAATTCTCATAGGCTGAGGGGGGTGGGTTCCAGGGGGACCCAGACCAGTTCCCCAAATTAGAATTTGGACCTAGGGGGCCGCTTCAGAGCATTAAGGAGGTAGTTTTAGGACACATAGAAGGCGCACAGAGCAGGGAGCAAACCTGCAGCTTGTTAGTTCCACCGCAAGGTTTTGGCTGGGCCTGTGGACAGCGCCCAAGTCATGAGCAACAGTTTCGAAGGGGCTCGTGAGAGAATGCAGTGGCGGGCAGGGCAGCCTGTCCCTCAGCGTCTGACCCCCCTCCCCCAGCAGCAGGCAATCTGGGGCTAGGAAATGTGGGGCTGGGTGAGAGCCCGTGCCAGCCCCGCCACCGCGCTCCTGAAGGTGGCATAGGACGCTGGCCATGGGTTTGTAGCTGGCAGGAGCAGGCTGGGAGCCCTTGGGCTGGGTGGGAACTCACAAGAGCCGGATGGTAAACTAATCTCACTGAATATTTCAGAAAAGGCAGAGCCAAGCTGGGATCCTAAAACATTCACTATGTACGCGTGGCTGTTGTGTCAGGTGGGAGGGGAGGAGGCGCAGGTGGCCCCAGACTGCTGGGTGGTGGCACAGCGTGAGGACGGCTGGCTGACATGGGCCACACTGAAACAGTCTGAAGAGTCACAAGGATGGGCCGAGCGTGTCTTCAGAGATGAACTCCCACTGCTCTCTGGGAAAGGCCTTCCAGGGGAAGCTCCTCCCTCGGCTTCTGATTCCAACACCAGCCAGGCAAACTTGACCGTGACACCATCATGAGAGGAGTCCCATCCAGTTGCCCTGGAGTTCAACATCTAAACAAGTTGTTTTTGCCAAATGCAGTCAAAAACACTGACTTTGCCTGAATACCTCCATCCAAGGGCAAACATGATTTGGTTTGTTCCAGGAGTGGAACAACCCCTGGGTGGTCACACGGCTCTCGGCTCTGGCACAGGAGGGAGGGCAGCTGTGTGGAGCAGGCCCGTGCCTGTCTCACCTAACCCACGAGGATTCCTGGCTCCCTCTGAACACACAGAGGCGTCTTCCCCCTGCCAGGCCCTGGCATGACTCAGCTGTACTCTGGGACTCAGCTCCACAGGCCCCCTGCCATGCTCAAGCCACTCGGGCTATGGTCACAAGACACTAAATCTTCCCCACAATCCATTTGGGAACAGGGCACAGATGCTCATCTCCACCTGCCTCCCATGAGTCCTGGTGTCATCCTCCATGTGTGGGGTTGAGTGTGTGTGTGAGACAGAGAGAGAAAAAGAGACAGCACTGGTCCCGAGAAGCCTTTACCAAGACCAGAACTGAGATCCCCAGCCCACCCTACCAAAACGGGCCAGCAGGGTGAGTCAGGAGGCCACTGTGTTTCAGAGGGCAGGCGACGCAGCAAGAAGCACAACCATGAGGAATGGGGCTGCTAGGGGCAGCTGGGTGAGGGCTGGGGTCAGCATTGCCCTGGAAAGCAGAGCCCGCGCCTCCCCAGCCACCTTAGGATGCCTCCCCTGCCAGGGCGGCTGGGCTGGCACGGATCCCTCCCTCCCCGAGGCACTGCTCTCCTCTGCCGCCCGGAGACTAGGAGATGCGGCAGCAGCCGTGGACCTTCTCCTCCATCTCCTCCATGGGGGCCTTGAACTTCAGGAGGGGAGGATCTCCGCTGGTGACCGTGTAATACACCGAGGTCCCGTTGCTGCTGTACGGTGAAGTTCTGCCTCCGATCAAGGGGGCCTTGCCTTCACTGCTGCTCTCCCCGGTCCTGGCCATGCTGCTGCCCAGGTGGGTGCTCAGGAAGGGGTGGCTGAGTAGCTTGGCTGCAGCCCGCTGCCGCTTCAGCTCCAGAAGCGTCTGGGGGCTCTGCTCCTTGTAGCCGCCCCAGGGTGGGGTGGCGTCGGCCACGCCAGGGCTGCCGTAGGCCAGGCTGTAGTCGGGCACCTCGTGCACCTTCCAGACATCCCCGTTGGACAGCGCATACTGGTAGGCGCTGACTGGAGCCCGGAGGCCATTCTCAATAGGCCCGTCCAGTTCACCCCGGGAGATCTTGGTAGAAAATTCAGAGAGTAGCACGGGCTTCTCCAGCCTGGGGTTCTAAGGGGAGAAGGACAACGTTAGCGCTAGCTGGAAGAGCCACCCGTCCTCCAGCCCTTGGCCCCACCTGGGTGTTAGGGTCTCTGTTTTCCTCTGGGGGACCACCTATCTAGGTGTTCTGGTAGAGCTGACCACACCCCATCCTTGCTCCAGGGGCTGGACCTTGACCCCAGGCCTGGCGGATCCACACATATCACTATAAGGGTCAGGAATGGGCTCTGAACTGAAATGGGTTCAGTGGAACTCCACCCTGGGGCTTTTGCAAATGGGAAAGAGATGTTACTATAGGACCTGGTGAGAGTGATACAAGCTGGGGGCTGGGGGGCAGCACGTCAAAGGCTCTGCCTGCAAATGGGGCTGGCGTCAAGGGAGACTGGGAGACAGAAAGACACCATGTCCTGGAGCCCCTTGAGCCAGCTGGGCCCAGACTCTTTGGTTATAAGAGCTGATAAATTCTTTTTTTGTTTAAGTCAGTCTGAGTTTGGGTTTTTGGTCACTTAGAACCCTTGTTCTCTTTTAACAGCACATCTCTATTTCAAATGACTGGCATTCTCACCTAGGGTTCCTGTATACCCAACAGTCCTTGGATAATGAGAACTTGAAAAGCAGCTACTGGCAAGAAACTATAAACCAACTACAGTAAAGATGAAAATATGGCAAAATCACCACGAAGTCAAAAGACACAGGAAAGCACAGGGAAAATATTTGCAACATATATGACAGAAAAAGGAATAGTTTCCCAAATATATAATGAGCTCTTCAAAGTCAATTTTTGGGGAAGGTGTAGTGGCACAAGGGGTTAAGCCATTGCTTGAGATGCCTGTATTCCACACTGGAGTGCTCGTTAGCTCCTCGGCTTCCCATCTGGCTTCTTGCTATTGTGCTTGGGAAGGCAGAGATGGTGGCCCAAGTACTTGGGTCCCTGCTACCCATGTATGAAACCCAGATGGTGTTCTGGGCTCCTGGCTTTGGCCTGGCCAAGCCCTGCCTGTTGCAGACATCTGGAGAGCGAACCAGTGTATGGAAAATCTCTGTCTGTCTATCTGTCTCTCTCTCGCTCTCTCCAGTCCTCCCTCCTTCCCTCTCTGTTACTTTGCCTTCCAGATATAAATAAATAAATAAATCTTTGGGGAAAAAAAGTCAATTTAAAAATGCCTAATATACTGTAAACATGGGTAAAGGACACTAAAAAGAGGGAGGGTATTTGCTGCAGTGGTTAATGCCACTCAGGATGCTGGACGCCCATATGGAATGCCTGGGTTCAAGTCCCAGCTCTGCTTCTGATTCCAGCTTTCTCTTAATGCGTACCCTGAGAGGCATCAGGTGACAGCCCAAGTACTTGAGTGGGAGACTGAGATGAGTTCTGGGCTCCTGGCTTCAGCCTGGTCCAGCCTTGGCTTTTGCGGGCATTTGGGGAATGAACCAGTGGACAGAAGATATGTCTCTGTCTCTATGTCTCTTTGCTTTCCAAATAAAATGAAAATAAGCTATTTTTTTTTTAAAAAGACACTAACATAAAGCTCACAGCTGAAATATGTAGATACATAGCACATAAACACTGGCAGAATGTTCAACCTCACAATAATAATGACAAACATTTTAAAAATAAAATATTATTTTTGTATTGAGAAGTATTGAAAAATGTTATCATTACTCAGAGATGGCAGGGGTGTGAGGAAGTAGATGAGAGTGTTAGCCACCACAACCTCTTTGGAGAACAATTTCACAGCATCTCTACATAAAAAAAAACTTTAAGGCGGGGATGTATACTTTGTACCAGCAGGCCCCTAAGTCTTTGTTTCTCAGATTTACTCCCTTCATATGTACAAAGTATAAAAGTCATCACTGGGCAAGCAGGAAACTGTGGCAAGGACTTGTACTAGAAGGTTCTGTGGCTGGCATAAAGAATGAATGAAAACATCTCCAGGATGCCACAGAGGACCTCCAGGAAACACGTAATGAGGTCAAAGACAGCATGGTGGGGGCACTGCCGTGGCGGGTGTCCCCTTCTGCGTGTGTTTCCCCGGCTGCTGCAGTGGCTCCTCTGACCTTTGTGGGCAGACTGCAGCTGCATCAACCCGGACAGACTCTTCATGGTCCAAGTCAGCGCTTCCCATGAGCACGTGAGCCACCCGGGGATCTTATTAACATGCATTTTCTGATTCAGCAGGTGTGTGTTCGGGCCCCAAGTTCCTGCTGATGCTCTGATGCTTTTAGTAGCTGGGCTCTGAGGACACTGTTCCTGCCTTGGATGAACAGTGGAATCATCTGGAGAGCTAAATATTCATGTCTACGACGCCAGTCTGAAAAGACTGCCTATCACAGACGCCAGCTATATGACACTGTGGCAAAGACAGAACGGTGGAGACAGTAAAGGAGCTGTAGCTGCCGGGGCTTGAGGAGGATAAAGTGGGTGAAGCACTGGGGATCTTTAGGGCAGTGAAAATATTCTGTCTGATATCATAATGGTGGATACGCGACATAACGCATCTGTCAAAACAAAAAAACGTACAGCACAAGGAATGAACGGTACTATAAACTATAGGAACTAGTGAACAGTAATGTGTCGGTGCCGGCTCCCCAGTGCCAGCCTACGTACTACACTAATGAAGATGTTAACAAAGGGAGAAGCGGTGGAGCATGGTGAAGGGTAAGCAGGAACTGGCTGTACTTTCCATCCATTTTTTCCTATAAACTGAGAACTGCTCAAAAAACTGAAAGCCAATCATTATTTTTCAAGAGAAAAACATTTATACAATGCCTCAGTCCCAACCCCACAGATTCTGCTTCAGTCTGAGCCCCAGCCTGGACATCAGGATTTAACAGACAAAAAGCAGGGCAGGACTCCGGCACAGTGGTGGAGACACCGCACGGGACGCGGGCATCCTACCCTGGAGGCTGGGCTGGAGTCTAAGCTCCACTTCTGATTCCAGCTTCCTGGTCCCTCCATCCATCTGGTAGATTTCTCTGTCTCTCAAACAAAATGAAAATACATACAAAACAAAACACACGTCCCTAGGTGATCTTATTGTACAGTTAGTCGTATTTGTGAACCACAGATTAAAGAAGCTACAACTGTCTTATTGCTGCTGTGCCTGGTACCTGGGCGTTAGCTCTGCAACAGCAGGAACCAAAGCCAGCCCTGGGGACTGACGAGTAGGAATCCGACACAGGGCCCAGGCAGAGCAAACACTGCCTTAGAGAAGTGGTTCTCCAATCTAGAGGGCCGGGCCCCCGTCCAGCCAGGGCTTCTGATTCGACAGGTCTAGCAGGAGGCCTGAGGCTGTTATTCTCTAGGGAGCTTCCAGATGATGCTGAAACTGCTGGCCCAGGGACCCCACGTACAGGCTGTCACACCCTTGCCACATCTAACGCCTCGAAAGGACCAGGGACAAGAAAGGAATGCAGTTTGAGCTCTGGAGCAGGGAGCCAGCCTTGTGTCCACCAGGGCCTGGAACTGTGGTCCTACATCTGACAGTCGCCCTGGGGCTAGGCCTCTGGGTACCTGACCTGGCTGTGCTGCATCTGTGCCCTCTTCCTCCCCAGGCTTGGAAAACTCAGGTCCAGAGGCAAAGAAGCCCATCTGGTTGCCTCTCCATATCCCAAATAAACTACAGCCTCCATGAGGAATTAATCAGCTTAACTAAGCAGGGCTTCCAGCAGCCATATGCCTCTACCCTGCCCCCTAGAGGACTAATGATTTATGACATACTGCACACCAGGGTCTATGAGATCTGAACCAACACAGGGACAAAGCCAATGTGGAAGAGGAATCTCGGTTTCCCATAAAATAAGGAGAATATAAACCACCCAGCAAACAAGAAGGGAAAGATGCTTCACAGAAGAGGATAAGCAAACAGCCAGCAAGCGCCCCATTGAGTAAACGTGCATTTAAAATGTGGGTTGCCCAGCAACCCTGCCACAATGGCTCAAGTTGAAAAGACTGGCTACAGCAGAGTTGGCGAGAAGCACACTTACACTGCCCGCAGGAGAGCAGACAGGTGCAACCAGCTTTGAAGACTGCTTGGTTGGGTATCGGTTTGGCTCAGCAGGTAAGTCTCCACTTGGGGTGCCCACATCCCATGTCACAGCACCTGGTTCGAGTCCCCGCTCCTCTACATCAACTCCAGCTTCCTGCTAATGCTCATACGGGGAGGCAGCAGATGATGGCTCAAGTATGTGCGCCCCTGCCACCCATGTGGGAGACACGGGTGGAGTTCTGGACTCCTGGTTTCAGCCTGGCCGCTGTTGAAGGCAGTTGGGGACTGAACCAGTGAATGAGAAATCTCTGTCTTGCATTCCAGATAAAATGAAAATTTTAAACTATTTTTTTTTAAAAAGGAAATTGTTTGGCAGCATCCACTAAAACTAAACACGGCTACCGCATGACTCACACTGCTGTCCTGGGGATGCACCAGCAGAAAGCAGTTTGGCCACCAAAAGACAAGCACAAGAATGTTTACAGCAGCTTTATTTATCACAGCCCAAACTGGAAACAGCCCAAGTACCCACCAGCTGAAGAACAGATTTGTAAATTGTAATAGAATCAACCCTTCGTAGCTGTGAGGGACTGGTTCTCAGACCTCTATGGATGCCAATATTCATGGATGCTCAACTTTCTCTCTACTTTTAAAATTTATTTTTTTTATTTATTTGAAAGTGGAGGGAGAGAAAAAGAGAGAGAGAGAGAGAAAGAAAAAAAAAATCTTCCATCCTCTGGTTCACTCCCCTAATGCCTGCAACAGTAAGGGTTGGGCCAGGCCAAAGCCAGGAGCCCAGCACTCAATCCAGGTTTCCCATGGGGTGGCTGCCTCCCGAGGTGAGCATTAGCAGGAAGTTGGATCAGAAGTGAAGCGTTTATATGCATATACAAAACTAATATTTGGTGCTCAAAGTTACACACCTTTGGGGTGAACGGAAGAAACAGAGGGGGAAGGCAATTCATTGAAAACTCCCTTTAGATTGGTGTGCTTTAGTATACGTAAGTTACAGGGCTACCACAAAGAAAAGAATCAATAAAGCACGGGCGAGGAGGCATCTGAAATGTGCTTTGATTTTTAACTGTGATGCTTTTCCCCAGCTCTCAAGCTTGGCAGAGGAAGAACAAAACATGCGTGTGCCTTCTGCACACCCAGCCTGCAGCTCAGATGGGGTTCTGTGGACAGGTGCCTTCACTCCTGCAGGTGAGACAACCCGAGAGGGCTCTCCTGGTCTCGCTGGGCGGCAGGGTCCCTCTGAGACACACGGGAGTGCTAGGCAGCTAATCATTCTTCACCCCACCATAGCAATCCTCTCTAGAAATGTTCTCATCTGTTCATCACGTGGTGGGAGAAGCAAAAAGGCAGACATCTCTTGTCTCTAACTCTTCTCCGGCCCTCTACCTTCTTACCACATTCATGAGACAGCAGCCACACACAGACCTGAGTGTGTTGACAGTGGCCTGAACTAGTGTCCCTAAAAATTCCTGCTCACTTGGATCTCTGAATGCGGCATTGTGGAAATCAGGTCTTTGCAAATGCAATGAATTAAATTATGATGAGGTTGTACTGGGTTGGGGCAGACTCTAGTCCAGTGACTAGCATCCTTATAGAAGAGAAAACAGACACTAACACCACACAAGGAACAAGACCATGTGAAGGGGCCAGCATCATGGTGTAGCCAGTTAAACTGCCACCTGCAACGCTGGCATTCTACACGGGCACTGGTTCAAGTTTCTGCTGCTCCACTTTCAATCCAGCTCCCTGCTAATGTGCCTGGAAAACAAATGGAAGATGGCCCAAGTACTTGGGCCCCTGTACCCACATGGGAGACCCAGAGAAGCTCCTGGCTCAGCCCTGGCTGTTGCAGCCATTTAGGGGAGTAAATAAGCAGATGGAAGACCTCTGTCTCCCTCTTCTCTCTGTAACTTTGTCTTTCAAATGAATGAATGAATCAATCAATCAATCTTAGAGAGAGACAGAGACAGAGACAGAGAGACAGAGAGGCAGAGACAGAGACCACATAAAGTTGAAGGCCCAGGCTGGAGCCTTGCCAGCACATAAAGAACACCTAAGCCACCAGAAGCCGGGAGAGAGGAGTGGAACAGACTCCCCTCCGGAACTGTGGCAGAATAAATGTCTGCTGTTGGAAGCCACCCAGTTTGTTACAGCAGCCACAGGAAGTGAAGATGAACCCCCTTAGGAAAGCAAAGGAAAGCCCAGGATCATGGGCCACTCCTGGAGCAGGCTGCTCAGAGCTCCTACCAGCCACCCGATGTGGTTTTCAAGAAGATTTTTTCCACCCAGGGGGCTTCCATAGCCTTGGCAGCTCATGACAAGAGCCTAGGGTGATTACTGATGCCATAAACAAGAGTGTCAATTTGTTAAGTCAACAACAGGAGTCACTGTGCACTTACTCCTCATGTAGGATCTTTGTCCTTAATGTGCTGTACATTGAGATTTAATGCTATAACTAGTACTCAAACAGTATTTTTCACTTTATGTTTCTGTGTGGGAGCAAACTGTTGAAATCTTTACTTAATGTATGCTAAACTGATCTTCTGTATATAAAGAGAATCGAAAATGAATCTTGACATGAATGGAAGGGGAGAGGGAGTGGATAAGGGGAGGGTTGCGGGTTGGAGGGACATTATGGGGGGGAAGTCATTGTAATCAATATTCTGTACTTTGGAAATTTATATTCATTAAATAAAAGTTAAAAAAATTAAAAAAAAAAATAAAAATTTCACTAAATAAAAAAAAAAGATTTTTTCCAACCAGGTGTGTTCTGATGAATACTCTGCTCAAAATCTTGTTACGTCTTGGTGCCCTTTGCTCCAGGGGTGACCATCCTACTGACCTAGCCCCAGGCCAGAGCTGCTGAGGACAAGCAGGCACATGGTGGTCACTTGCTCCCTGTCCACTGTGAGACCGTCCTGCATGCCAAAGTGTCCAGCTGTCTCCCATCAGCCACCATCAGATGGGACCTGGCTGGATTAAGGACGCTGTCTACTGTCAGACAGGCCCCAGCTGGCAAGGGCACTGCCCAGCTGCTACCCTCGAAGGGTCTCAGATGGAAAGGCAAGACCAGGCTAGGCTCTGCCCTCCTCCCAAGACCATGGCTGGAGTGGGGGCAGGCAGGAGGCCACTCACGGGGTCCTTGTTCTCTTGGTCCGTCCTGGTCTCCCTGACGTCCCCATTGTAGGTCGAGGTCCGCTGCTCCTCGGCCGCGCTCCGCTGCTGCCACAGTATGGCCTCTCCCTCATACTCCTTCCTGTACAGGTTGGTCCTGTCCGACAGGCTGGCTCGACGCACCACCTTCCTGAGGGGACAGAGCGGGCGCCGGGAAGCTGCGTTCAGGTCCCCCCAGCAGGAGCGTGGGGGAGGCGCCCAGTGACTGTGCCCCTGACTCACCCACGGCTGCCCGCGCTGGACGTCCTCCGGCTCAGGGACGACTTGTGCCGCAGCTGGGACTTCATGATCACGTCGTGCTTGTGCTTGAGCTCCAGCAGCAAGACCTTGAACTCCTCCTCCTCGCACAGGTCTGAAGGGGCGGAGCAGTGCATTGTGGGGAGCAGGGCAGGGGCCCGGGGTCCCCGAGGTTGCTCTGGACCAAATCAGCTGCCTCCCCAACTCACTGAACACCCCAAGCATCTTTTGGACACGGAGGGAGGGAAGAAAACAATGGCTGTCTTGTTTCCTGGGCTGCAACTCCAATCCTTAGAGGAAAATAAGTACGGGAAAGCCAGGTTCCATGCAGTTACGGCTCCTAAGGTTCCCAGCTGTGACTGAGGGAGTCCTGGTCATCAACTCCCTACTGATCTGAGAATTACTACTTTTCAGCAAGAAGCAGGTACCCCATGCAGCCCAAGAAAGAGTCCCACATAATCACATCCACTCAATCTATCTAACCTCTTTATCACCTAGCCACCTACCTGCTAGCCTGTCATCTATCTGTAGAGTCAGCCTCCACCCATCCATCCATCCATCCACACATCATCACATCTGCCCATCTACTCTCTTGATCAATCCCTCTATCCATTAATCTACCATCCATTAATTTATTCATTTTCCACTTATCCATCTACACACCAATCCATCAGTCTATCCAACCATTATCCATTTATCACTCCACCCACCAAAAACTTGAAGAATGCCTACATGTGTGCTGGTGTTGTGCTGGACTTACCTATTGGCATCTCATCCATGGATGTCCTAGCACTGAGACTAGCCCCATGGGACACCAACAGCTCTGCCATCTGCATCTGAAACACAGGAAGACACCCACAGTCTCCCTGCCCAGGGCGAAGAAAGCCCAGGGTGTGGAGTATCCAAAGTGTCTCAGGACAAGACCCAGAAATGGTGGGGCAAAGTTGATTGCTGAGAAAGGCCTTGAAGGCTGGAGATATGGAGGAAATCCTAAAGGGTACCATGCACTTGGCAACTCCTCTAGCATTCTTGGGCCATGCCAAGGTGGGAGAGAAGAAGGAGCTGGCTGTGACTGTACGGCCGTCAAGTATCTGGGGAGGAACTGCATAAAGTGTAATCATATTTGGGAAACAAATAGAGAAACTGCTCAGAACAGAAATGCGGGGAACTTTCTAACTTGGCAAATTCAAGTCTCATCCTACAGGGACGCAGACTGTCTAATGCTTTTGCAAACTCTCTGGGCCTTATGTTCTTTTGAACCGACTGTGAACTCAAAGGACTTAGCGACAGCAGATTGACCCTGTGCTGGCCTCCCCATTCCCCAGCCCTGTGGGTGGGAACCCTGTGCTGGCCTCCCCCACGGCCCTGTCGGCAGGGACTACCTGTCCCCAGAAGGCAGCTGCGTGCAGGGGCTCCCAGCCATCCCAGTCCTTCACATCCACACGCACTCCATGGTCCAGGAGGAGCTCAGCTGCCCGCAGGTATCCGTTGGCTCCAGCGATGTGCAGCTGGAAGAGAGGGAAGAAGGAGCACTCCCTAGAGGGCTGGCCCCACATTTGGAAGTGGATTTCCACCCAGATCCTAGAGCTTCCTTGGGGCTGGCAGAATAGAATACAATGAGGTAGAAATACCAGCCACATAACTGAGGATTAAGTCTGAAATATGGATCTAGAGGAGGAAGCAGAGAGCTGAGCTCTTCTCCCCTGTGGCTGATTTTAGAGCCCATGTAGCTAAAGCAACAGCATTTATTGAGCTCTTACTGTGTACCAGGCCCTGCAGAAGGGGTCTCAGAGATCCACTTTGGTGGTTTTACATTTGATTTTTTTTTTTTTTTGACAGGCAGAGCTAGACAGTGAGAGAGAGAGAAAGAGAGAGAAAGGTCTTCCTTCCATTAGTTCACCCCCAAATGGCTGCTATGGCTGGCGCACTGTGCTGATCTGAAGCCAGGAGCCAGGTGCTTCCTCCTGGTCTCCCATGTGGGGGCAGTGCCCAAGCACTTGGGGGCCATCCTCCACTGACTTCCCGGGCCACAAGAGAGAGCTGGACTGGAAGAGGAGCAACCGGGACAGAATCTGGCGCCCCAACCGGGACTAGAACCTGGGGTGCGGCGCCACAGGCGGAGGATTAGCCAAGTGAGCTGCAGCGCCGGCCACACTTTGGTGGTTTTAAAGCACATGTGCAAATACTTCCTTTCAAAGATGGAGCCCGATTGCTCTCCCCTCAAATGCGGGTCTGACTTCTAACGAATGGGACATTACAAAGTGGCAGTATGTCATCTCTGAGGGTAGGGAATAGAAGGCATCTCTCTCTACCTCCTGCCATCCTGGACCAATCCAGCAGGAGGCAGTGACCATGGTGTGAGGACACTCAAGCAGCCCCAAGGAGAGATACCAAGGAGGCAAGAAACAGAGGCCCGTGTCTATGGCCTGCACCAGCGCGCCAGCTGTGTGGGTGTGTGCCGCCTTGGAAGGGAGTCCTCCAGCTCCTATCAAGCCTTCAGATGAGACTTCAGCCCCAGCAAACACCTTGACTGCAGTCTCATGAGAGGGGCCAAACCAGAGCCACCCAGTTAAGCTATATGGTGGGGCAGTCTGTTAGGCAACAATAGATAATTAATACACCCAATTAGGAAAGCCCCACGTAGAGGTCCAACCCTTCTCCCTGACCCCACTCAAGGGCTCCAGTCACTGACAACTAACAGACCTTAGTTGTCCCACTTGTTCAATCGCCCAGAAAATGCGTAAGAGGATTTGCACCTGATGAGCACTCACTGCATGATGAACAGTCCAGGGAGCCCCAAGTAATGACAAGGTGCACCAAGAACACAAGCAGACAGAGGAGACAAGGCAAAGAAACCCACTGCCCAGCCAAGGTGGGAGGAGAACGCCAAGTGGGCTCAGGTCCAGGGAGGCAGAGTGGGCATAGCCTAGTAGTCAGATGCTCCCTCACTCACCCTGACAGAAGGGTGCTATCAGGTTCTAACCTTTTTATATACCAAAAATTGGCAGAGTAAATCTAGGGCATGGTGGGATACAGGCAGACATGAAAATTAGTCTGATTAGCTGATATATAAAAGTTGATGCTTGCTAGTTGTGACGAATGATACCTGGATGACCAGACGGACATCACAGATTGCAGAGCCTCAATACTTGGCTGGGAATAAAAAGGCATGAGGGGGTGCTGGTGCTGTGGTATAGCAGGTAAAGCCATCACCCGCAGTGCCTGCATCCCATATGGGTGCTGGTTGGAGTCCTGGCTGCTCTACTTCTGATCCAGCTCTCTGCTGTGGCCTGGGAAGGCAGTGGAGGATGGCCCAAGTGCTTGGGCCCCTGCACCCACATGGGATACCTGAAGAAGCTCCAGGCTGCTGGCTTCAGATTGGTTCAGCTCTGGCCATCATGGCCATTTGGGGAGTGAACTAGCAGATGGAAGACTCTCTCTCTCTCTCTCTGCCTCTCTGTAACTCTGTCCTTCAAATAAATAAATGGCATGAGTGGAACAGTGCTATTAACAATGGTGACCACGGCTGACATCCCGAGAGTTTAGACTCGGTACTAAGCACTCACACGCAGAATCTCACTGAACCTTCCCAGCAGCTCTCAGAGTAAGATACGGTGATCTCCAGTTTAAGGGGAAGACCTGAGACCCAGATGTGCCAGGTCCATGTGGGTGAGCCAGCCCCAGTGCAGGAGGAGAAGACCCCTGAGTCCAGGAAGCCCAATCACAGACCCAGTGGAGTTCCAGCCAAGGTGGGCCATGCCCTGGTGCAGGCTGGCCTTGACTTCAGATAGTGGCATTGAGTCTCACCATCCGAGACTATCCTTCAGTGCTGGGCTGAGCAGGTGATCCAAGCAGGGACTCAACTAACAGAAATGGGCATGAAGCAGAGGTTAGAGCCCAGTGATGAGAGAGAGAAGCTCAGTTATCACCCCTGGGCCACCAGCTCAGGACTGATGGGCAGTGAGGGGAATTTGCTAACACTGAGTTCTAGTTGTGGGTTTGAGAACTCGGAACTTCTGAGGGCCCGTGACCAGCACAGAGCCCAAACTGTGGATAGCACCCAGCCGCTGGGAGGTGATTTCTCATGTCATGCTCTTGTCAGCTCAGCGGCTACAGAACCTGACCCTCCCCAGTGCTGGGCTGCAATATGCTATGAGGAGGAGCTAGCGAGCTCTCCCCAAGTCACTGACACTTGAGCTGCAAGGATGAATGGAGTTAATCAGGCAGACCTAGGAGAAGAGGGTCTACTATTCTCTTTCTAGGGTCTAGGGGAGTATGTAGCACAGAGGAAGTCCTCAAACTGTGTTGGTTGGTTGGTTGGTTGGTTGGATGGACGGACCAATGGGAGGATGGATGACTGAGGGTGAACAGACTGAAGTCAGGGAACCCAGGGAGAGGCCGTTGCAGCTCTATCAGGGAAAGCTGATGAAGCAAAGTGGTGGGGTGAGAGAGACGCTAGGCAGAAGAACGGATAGTGCAAGGCAAGGTGGCATGGATGAGAGGGTGAACGCTGTCACCAGTCTTTGCGAAGGGGCATCATTGGAGGAGAGAAAAATAATGAACTCAAGATGAGCACCTGGAGCCTGGAGTGTGGATTCTGGAGACAAAATAGCTGAACAGCAGAGCCAAGGTTCTTGACTCCCAGCCCCAGTTAAGTGTGGAAAGGTTCTTTCTCTTTCTTTTTTTTAAACATTTATCTATTTATTTGAAAGGTGGAATTACAGAGAGGGAGAGGCAGAGGCAGAGAAAGAGAAAAGTCTTCCATCTGCTGATTCACATCCCAAATGGCCAGGGCTGGGCCAGACCAAACCTAGAAGCCAGGAGCCTCATCCTGGTCTCCCACATGGTGCAGGGGCCCAAGCACTTGGGTCATCCTCCATTGCTTTCCTAGGTGCATTAGCAGGGGGTAGCACAGAAGTGGAGGAGCCAAGACTCCAATCGGCACCTATATGGGGTGCCAGCACTGCAGGCGGTGGCTTAGTCTGCTACACCACAGTGCCAGCTCCCGGGCAGTTTCTTAAAGAAGCTGAGCTAAGCTTCCATGCTCCACGGGCAACTCTGGTCCCAGAGAGATGTGGGAAAGGTCAAAGACTTGACCTCCCCTGGGAGCTGGCCCACTTCAGCAGTAACTGGGTTTGGTCTGGTACTAGCCCCCAGCCCAAACCAGCCTGGCCATATCCTCACCAATGTGGCACCCTGGGCATCTATCCAGTCGAGGTCCTGGCCCGCTGCGATCATGCAATGGATGTCCGCGATCATCTGCTGCTCAGGAGCAGCCCGCATCTCGTTGATCTTCTCCTGGGTGATGCCTGCAGTGGGAGAGAGGGCTTTGTTTAGAGCAATCAGGCCAATGGGGGAGACGTGGCTCCTGTTCCCCAGGGTTTGCCCATCAAGGGGGCACAGAGACAAGCCCATAAATCATCATCCCCCAGGCCTTGTGAACACAAACACCATGCATTGGTCCACAGAGACAGGGCCATGCCCGCCTGGCTCCCAGGACACCTGTGATCAACATCAGCCACTTTGCTGCATGCGGCTCTCCCACCCGGAAGTTCCTGCCACCCTACCCACCTCCAACTGCTCCAGTGCCTGGCTCTGTCTCATTCTCCAGGTCCCAGCTGGCCTCCGCTGACCACTCTATCTGACCAGAGTCCCTGATAGCTGCCCTCATCTCAACCACCTCTGTGTTTGCAGCTTGAGGCACCATGCTTGATACATTTTGTTGTTGTTGCAGAAATGACTGTGTCAATGAATACAACACTTTCCAATGGAGACTCCACTAAACTGAGGTAGAGCCAGTTCCTGGCTAAAATATTTAGCCAGTGGAATTTAAAGAGAAAGTGAATTGCTCTGCAAAAATATCTGTTAGCTCAAGAGCTCTTGAGTGGAATTCAGGAGAGGTCTATAAACTCGAAGGGAGAAAAACTGACAAGTTTATTTTGACTAACCTTTAAATTAAATTTAGGATTTCTACCATTAGAATACAAGTAAGGCCGGCGCCACAGCTCATTAGGCTAATCCTCCGCCTGTGGCACCGGCACACCGGGTTCTAGTCCCGGTCGGGGCACTGGAGTCTGTCCCGGTTGCTCTTCTTCTAGTCCAGCTCTCTACTGTGGCCCGGGAGTGCAGTGGAGGATGGCCCAAGTTCTTGGGCCCTGCCCCCACATGGGAGACCAGGAGGAAGCACCTGGCTCCTGGCTTCAGATTGGATCGGCACAGTGCGCCAGCTGTAGCGGCCATTTGGGGGTGAACCAACGGAAGGAAGACCTTTCTCTCTGTCTCTCTCTCTCTCTCACTGTCTAACTCTGCCTGTCAGAAAAAAAAAAAATACAAGTAAAACCCAGTCTTAGCAGAGCCTGTGGCTTTGCCACCAACAGAAGTAATAGGTATTTCCATATCCTGGTATCTTATTTTTTAATAAATTAAAAAGTTTCTATCTCCCACAAATTAAAGATATTTTTGGGGGCCGGCGCTGTGGCATAGTGGGTAAAGCTGCCACCTTTAGTGCCAGCATCCCATGTGGGCACCAGTTCAAATACAGGCTGCTCCTCTTCCTATCTAGCTCTCTGCTATGGCCTGGGAAAGCAGCAGAGGAGATGGCCCAAGTCCTCGGACCCTTGCACCCACTTGGGGACACAGAAGAAGATCCTGGCTCCTGGCTTCAGATTGGCCCAGATCTGGCCATTGCGGACATTTGGGGAGTGAAACAGTGGATGGAAGTTTTCTCGCTCTGTGTCTCCCACTCTTTCTGTCACTCTGCCTTTCAAATAAATAAATAAATCTATTAAAAATTAGTTTATTTGAAAGTCAGAGTTACACAGAGAGAGGAAAGGCAGAGAAAAAGAGAGAGAGAGAGAGGTCTTCCATCCGATGGTTCACTCCCCAATAGGCTGCAACGGCCAGAGCTGTGCCGATCCAAAACCAGGAGCCAGGAGCTTCTTCCAGGTCTCCCACATGGGTGCATGGGCCCAAAGACTTGGGCCATCTTCTACTGCTTTCCCAGGCCATAGAAGAGAGCTGGATCAGAAGTGGAGCATCCGGGTCTCGAACCGGCGTCCATATGGGATGAAGGCCAGGGTGTTAACCCACTGCGCCACAGCACCAGGCCCTAAATAAATCTTTAAAAAAATAAATATTTTGGTGGCTGTATTTTAATAGAATTGGCTTCCTTTATACATCTAGGATTTCATAACTGCATTGAAGGCTCTATAGATACGCTGGATTGGCACAAAAATTGTTAAGAACCTCAGCAGGGGGTGGGTGTTTAGCAGAGCGTTTAAGGCACTGCTTGGGACACCTACATCCCATATCGGACTGCCGGAGCTCCTGAACTAGCTCTGCTTCTGATTCCAGCTCCCTGCTAGTATGCACCCAGCAGCAATTGATGGACGGCTCAAATACTTGGGTCCCTGCTTCCAACTGCAGAGACCTAGGTTGAGTTCCCAGCTCCTGGCTTTTGCCTGTCCCAGCCCTGGCCATTGTGGGCATTTGGGGAATGAACCAGGGAATGAGAGATCACGCTGTGTGTCTCTCCTCTAACTTTCTCTCCTCTTGCCTTTCAGTTAAATTAAATAAATTCTAAAAGAACCTCTGGGGGCTGGTGTTGTGGCCTAGTGGGTAAAGCCACTATCTGCAGTGCCAGCATCCCATATGGGCACTGGTTCGAGTCCTGGTTCCTCCACTTCCAATCCAGCTCTCTGCTATGGCCTGAGAAAGCAGCAGAAGATGGCCCAAGTCCTTGGGCTCCTGCACCCGTGTGAGAGACCTGGAAGAAGCTCCTGGCTCCTGGCTTTGGATCAGCGCAGCTCTGGCCTTTGTGGCCATTTGGGGAGTGAACCAGCAGATGGAAGACCTCTCTCTCTCTCTCTCTCTCTGCCTCTCAGTAACTCTGCCTTTCAAATAAATAAATATATCTTTAAAAAAAAAAAAAGTACCTCTGCAGAATATGAGCTGGAAAGGCTGGAGGGAGAGGGCAGGGAGCATGAAGAGCCAAGCAGCGGTTATGGTGGTCATCTGGGTGGAAACATGAGGCAGGGCCCAGGCGGAACCTAGGGCTACAACTCAAGATCTGGATTCGAGGGACTGGCACTGTGGCGTAGCAGGTTAAGCCGCCACCTTTGATGTGGCATCCCAGATGGGCACCAGTTCATATCCCAGCTGCTCCACTTGTTACCCATTTCTCTGCTAATGTGCCTGGGAAAGCAGCAGAAGATGGTCCAAGTGCTTGGGCCCCTGCACCCACAAGGGAAATCTGGAAGAAGCTCCTGGCTCCTGGCTTTGACCTGGCCCAGCCCCGGCCATTGCGACCATCTGAGGAGTGAGCCAGCAAATGGAAGATGTCTGTCTGTCTGTCTGTCTGTGTCTCTCTCTCTGTAACTCTGCCTGTCAAATAAATAAATAAATCTTGAAAAAAAAAATTTCTGGATTTGAGACAACTTTCCCAGGAGGCACCCAGAGGCCCATATACAGGGTATGGGGTGCAGGGCAGGCAGGTCTCTCACTGCTACTTTTGTCTCCTCTCTGAACCTCATTTATGAGCCGAGAACAGCCCACCTCTTGTTTATCTGGGCCACTGGCAGCCAGCATGGCGCCTGGCACGGAGCAGGCACCCGCAAATGTTCTTGACTTTTTTATTATTTTCCCAAATGGGAATGTATCTTTATGGTGAATGTTTACTGAATCGAATGTTCACAGCTGACGAGGAGGAGAAGAGGCCAGCTGAGGCCGCCCGCGCGTGTGGGTGATAGGGATGAGAACAGTCCCTCCCTTCTGTGGCGTTCTCCAGGGTCCATGTCTCGTTCATCACACGGACGGTGATGATAACGAGGAAGCCCATGTACTGAGTGCCGCCCCAGAGACAGGCAGGCCTGTGGCTGCTGATGTGTTCGTCTGGACTCACTTTGGCGACCACAACACCAAGCAGTGTCCTCCTCACAGCGTGCCGCCCTCCCTTACCCTGGTACGCCATGCAGGTCTCAATGACATCCAGGGTGGGCTCATCCTCGCACAGGTCATAGGGCATGTTCCCATCAGAGTTGACAGCAAGCAGGTCGGCTCCACTGCAGAGAAAGGCACAGGGTGAGGGCCAGGCGGATGTGGCGTCTGTTCTCTGGCCTCCTGCCCTACAGCCCCCACTGCACACCTGGGCAGCCACAGCCCCACCACTGCGCACCCTAGCAAGGTGATGCTCAGCTCTGCCCACCACATAGCAGCTTCCAGATCCCCGGCCCCAGGTGGGAAGGGGTCAAAGTCCCAGGAGAACCACCCCAGAAGACCTCTCTCAGCGTCCTCCTCTGTTGAACTCACAGGCAGCCAGCTACCCAGGGACAGATGTCAAAGTCCTCCCTGGGGACAGTCATAAAAGCCATAATCACAGCAGCAACCTCACTCACTGGGCGCCTGCCGAGAGCGGAGTCTGAGCCAAGCCTTTCCCGTGCATCCTCTCACTGAATCCTCTGTGTTCCCCTTGGGTCGGTACCACCGGCCTCTTCTCACTCAGGGGAAGCAAACACTCAGAGAGGTTCAGCCGCTCGTCCAAGGTCATACAGCTCGGATGCGGTAGGGTGGAGGCTCAAACCCAAGTTCCTTGTGAGCCAGCTCTTTGCACTTGCTGTTCTATTTCACTCCTGCCCTGCAGGCAGACACATCCTTGCTTATCTTCTACTTCTTCCTCCAATCCCTGCCCAAAAAGGCCGACCAGGTCAGGGGCAGAACGGAGCCGTGAGGCTTCCTGGCAGAATGTGCCCCTCGAGCAAGTGGTGCTGGGCCATGGCCATGGGATGCCCTGTGGCAGAGCCACCTGGAGACCATGGACATCAAATGCAGCTTCCTGGGCTTCACGCCAGCCCTCCTGACATTGCCTCTGGAGGGCGGGGCTCGGGGACATTTATCTTCTCTCTGCCTCAGGAGATGCAGGTACAGATCTGCCACGGGGGCCCACTGACCCAGGCTGGTACCACTCCCTTTGTTCCACGGCTACCTCTGGTTTTCCTGGCAGAATGTCACCAGAGGCACAGGGCTGGGCCATCCTGTAGCCCTTATAGAGCCTTCTACTGTGACGTCTCTGAGCTCGTGTGTGCCCTTGAGTAAATGAATGCCGCAGCTCGGTCATCTCCACCCAGGAGCTACCTGAAGGGCTCCTGCCACTCTGCCGTGACCTCTGCCAAAGGTCACCTGCTCCCAGCCACTCCTGAAGCCCTGCACTTTGACCTCCAGGGACCCCAGCCCACTGGTCTTGCTCTAATTAGCTCTGGTCCTGAAATCACCTGATTTCCTTCCTACACCCCCAGGGCTTTTGCATTCCTGTGTGCCCAGTGCCGAGCACAGAACCCGGCCCAGCTAAGGCACCCGCCAATTATTAGCTGGATTTAATGGAATACACTTGAAATTGCAAATTGTCTTTCCTGTGTGTTTATAGAATTTGAGCAGACTAGAAAAGATTTCAGGATGAGGAAAGGCCCTCCCAGCACCATAGAAGGAAATGTCCTTATTCCCAGGAAAGACACTGTGGTACGCGGCCTCTCCCCCAAATCAGGCTCTGCCCCCAAAGAAAAGCACATGGACTGGATTTGGGAGTAGGGCCAAGGAAGCAGGCTTGTTTGCTTTGCGTGTGTGTGTGTGTGTGTGTGTGTATAACAAACAAGAGGAACAAAAACGGCACTAGCACATAAAGAGGGTAGAAGAGAGAAAGAGGCCGGCGCCGCGGCTCACTAGGCTAATCCTCCACCTAGCGGCGCCGGCACACCGGGTTCTAGTCCCGGTTGGGGTGCTGGATTCTTTCCCGGTTGCCCCTCTTCCAGGCCAGCTCTCTGCTATGGCCCAGGAACGCAGTGGAGGATGGCCCAAGTGCCTGGGCCCTGCACCCCATGGGAGACCAGGAGAAGCACCTGGCTCCTGTGTTCAGATCAGCGCGGTGCGCCGGCTGCAGCGCGCCAGCTGAGGTGGCCATTAGAGGGTGAACCAACGGCAAAAGGAAGACCTTTCTCTCTGTCTCTCTCTCTCACTATCCACTCTGCCTGTAAAAAAAAAAAGAAAAGAAGAAGAAGAGAGAAAGATTCATGGAGGAAGACACAGGAAAAGACTTAATAAAAAGAGAATGAGACCCTGTTGCCAAAATACAAGAACAGAAAACTAGAAGCCCATATCCTTTATGAAAAATGATGTAAAATCCTCAACAAAATATTAGCAGCACAAGCAAAGGGTTAGACAGTATGTCCAAGTGGGACTTCTTCCTGGGATACTAGCATGTTTCAGTGTACAGAAACCAATGTCATGGGGCCGGCGCTGTGGCGTAACTGGTAAAGCTGCCGACTGTACTGCCAGCATCCTGTATGGGTGCTGGTTCAAATCCCGGATGCTCCACTTCCAATCCAGCTCTGGCCTGGGAAAGCAGTGGAAGATGGCCCAAGTCCTTGGGCCCCTGCACCCACGTGGGAGACCTGGAAGAAGCTCCTGGCTTCTGACCTCGAATCAGCTCAGCTCTGGCCACTGCAGCCATGTGAGGAGTGAACCAGTGGATGGAAGACCTCTCTTTCTTTCTCTCTCTCTCTGTGTCTCTGTCTCTCTGTAACTCTGCCTTTCAAACAAACAAATAAATCTCAAAAAACAAAAACAACGTCATATACCACATTCTCAGAATGAAGGGGAACAAAAATACACAATATGCAGAAAAAGCATTTGGCAAAATTCAACCCCATTTCATGATGCACATGTACTGTAGATGGAAGAAAACATTCGAGACACAGAGAAAACTCAACAACTGAGGATGGAAGAAAACTACATCAGCCTGATAAAATGCATATGTGAGAAACCCACAGCGAATATCATGGTCAACGGTGAAAGAATAAAAGCTTTCCCTCCAAGATCAGGACCCAGGCAGAGATGCCTGTGTTTGCCACTTTTATCCAACACAGTATTGGAGGTGCTACTCAGAGCAATTAAGCCAGAAAAAGAAATAAAGACATCCACATTGAAAAGAAGATGTATAATTACCTCTGTTCACAGATGATAAGATGCTATGTGCAAGAAACACAGACGATTCCACAGATAAACTATTATAACAGATAAGCAAATTCAACGAAGTTATAGGAAAAAAAGTCAACATGAAGACCAGCTGCATTTCTTGGGGCTGTGGCATAATAGGTTAATCCTCCACCTGTGGTGCCGGCATCCCATACGGGTGCCAGTTCTAGTCCCAGCTCTTCCTTTTCCAATCCAGCTCTCTGCTGTGGCCTGGGAAAGCAGTAGAAAATGGCCTAAGTGCTTGGGTCCCTGCACCTGCATGGGAGACCTGGAAGAAGCTCCTGGATCCTGGCTTGGAATCGGCCCAACTCCAGCCACTGCAGTCATTTGGGGAATGAACCAGAGGATGGAAGACCTTTCCCTTTGTCTCCCCCTCTCACTATCTATAACTCTAACTCTCAAATAAATAAATAAAAAACTCTTTTTTAAAAAAGCTGAATTTCTGTACACTAACCATGAACCATCAGCAAAGGCATTAAGGAAACAATTTTATTTATAACAGCATCAAAAAGAATGTAATGATTAGGAATTAATTTCACCAAAGAGCTAAACCTTGTATCACAAAGACTGAAAGAAATAAAAGAAGACAAATAAATGGAAACACATCCCATCTTTATGAACTGGAAGACTTAATACTGTTAAGAAGTCAGTCTACTCAAAGCAATCTACAGCTTTAATGTGATCCCTATCAAAATCAATTTTTGCAAAACAGGAAAATCTACCCTAAAGTTCATGTGAATCTCAAGGGACAATCCTGAAAAAGAAGAACAAACCTGGAGGAGTCACACTTTTTAATTTTAAAACAGTACAGGCCGCGGCTCACTAGGCTAATCCTCCACTTTGTGGCGCCGGCACACCGGGTTCTAGTCCTGGTCGGGGCGCCGGATTCTGTCCCGGTTGCCCCTCTTCCAGGCCAGCTCTCTGCTGTGGCCAGGGAGTGCAGTGGAGGATGGCCCAAGTGCTTGGGTCCTGCACCCCATGGGAGACCAGGATAAGTCCCTGGCTCCTGCCATCGGATCAGCGCGGTGCGCCGGCCACAGTGCGCCGGCAGCGGCAGCCATTGGAGGGTGAACCAACGGCAAAGGAAGACCTTTCTCTCTGTCTCTCTCTCTCACTGTCCACTCTGCCTGTCAAAACAAACAAACAAACAACAACAACAACAACAAAAACAGTACAGGGGCTGGCGCTGTGGTGTAGTGGGCTAAGCCTCTGCCTGTGGTGCCAGCATCCCAGCTGGGCGCCAGTTCATATCCCGGCTGCTCCTTTTCCAATCCAGCTCTCTGCTATGGCCTGGGAAAACAGTGGAAGATGGCCCAAGTCCTTGGGCCCTGGTACCCATGTGGGAGATCCAGAAGGATCTCTTGACTCCTGGCTTCGGATAGGCCCAGCTCTGGCCACTGTGGCCTTTTGGGGAGTGAACCAGTGGATGGAAGGCCTCTATGTCTCTTCTTCTCTCTATTTCTGTAACTCTGCCTCAAGTAAGTAAATAAATATGGCCGGCGCTGCAGCTCACTAGGCTAATCCTCCGCCTTGCGGCGCCGGCACACCGGGTTCTAGTCCCGGTCAGGGCGCCGGATTCTGTCCCGGTTGCCCCTCTTCCAGGCCAGCTCTCTGCTGTGGCCAGGGAGTGCAGTGGAGGATGGCCCAATTACTTGGGCCCTGCACCCCATGGGAGACCAGGATAAGTCCCTGGCTCCTGCCATCGGATCAGCGCGGTGCGCCGGCCGCAGCGCGCGGGCCGCGGCGGCCATTGAAGGGTGAACCAATGGCAAAAGGAAGACCTTTCTCTCTGTCTCTCTCTCTCACTGTCCACTCTGCCTGTCAAAAAAATAAAAAAATAAAAAAAGTAAAAAAAAAAGTAAATAAATCTTTAAAAAACAGTACAGTACTGACATAAAAACTGACGTATAATCCAAAGGAATAGAACAGAGTCCAGAAATGAGCCTTGCATGTGTGGTTAAATGATTTTTGACAGGGTGACAAGATCACTCAATGGGAAAAAGATAATCTTTCCAACAAATAATTCTGAGAAAGCTAAAAATCCACGTGCAAAAGAAAGGAGCTGAACCTTATCTAATACCACATTCAAAACTCAACTAAAAATGGGCCCATGACCTAGATATAAGACCTAAAACTGTAAAATTCTTGGAAACGAAGGGCAAAAACTTCATGAAAGTAGGTGTGGCAATGATTTCTCGGTTATGACACCAAAGACTCAGGAAACAAAAGAAAAACAAAGAAAGCTTTGTGAAAATTTCAAAATTTTGCTCATCAAAAGACTCAACAGGTACGAAGGCAGTGCTAGGATGGGAAAAGTATTTGTAAATCATATATAGGATGAAGGACTAATATTCAGAATACAGAGATCATGTTTAAAAGTCAACAACAGAAAAGAAAACCCGTATTCAACAACGGGTGAAGGACTTGAATACACGTTCCTCCGAAGAGGACACATGGGCACCAGCTCAACAGCAGCAGTCAGCAGGGACGTGCAAGTCCAGGCTGCGATGACGCACCACCTCCCTCCTGTCGGGATGGCCACAAACAACGAACAACGAACAACGCGGCACACCAAGTGTCGGGGGCTGGGTGAAGAAACTGGACCCTGGTACAGCAGAGGAGCAGAGGTTTCCAGGGGCCAAGGTGGGCAGGGAATGGGGGAAGTCATTGTTTAATGGGTCCAGAGGTCGGTTTTGCAAGATGAAAGGAGTTCTGCAGACGGAGGGTGGTGATGGTTGCACAACGGTGTGAATGTGCTCAATCCCGCTGGACTGCACACTTGAAGACGGTTACAGTGGGAGATTTTCTATTACGTGCATTTTTCCATAATAAAACAAGTGGGGGTAGAGGGTGAGAGAGAGCATGCAGCGAGGCAAAGCATGGAAAAGCCAGAGAGAACAGAGAGGAAGAGAAAAAGATAAAGAAAGTTGCAGGGATGGGGAAAGAAAAGGGGGCCCTTGGGAGAGGAGGGGGCAGAAATACAGAGAGGGAGAGGAGACGCGGGGAAGGGGAAGGGAGGAGAAGCACTCTGAGTGACAGTGCGTGGCGGGGGAGAAATGAAAGACAGAGAGGATGGGCGGGAAGAGAAGAAAGGGGCGGGGAGGGAAGGATGGAAGATGGACAGGCGGACACGGGAACGGCCGCGGTGGGCGAGGCCGTCCGCGGAGGGAGGGCACGTACTACTGAACGAGGATCTTCACCAGGTTGATGTGGCCGCAGGTGGCCGCGGCGTGCAGGGGCGTCCACAGCTCGTTGTCCTTGGCGTTCACGTTGGCACCATGGGAAAGGAGCAGCTTGACGATTTCCTCAAAGTTGTCGATGCAGCACTGGGAGGGACACAGAGGCACAGTCAGCGCCAGGCTGGGCTGCAGGCCCTGGTGGGCGCCCACAACCCGGTGACATTGCCCACGAGAGGCCACAAGGACGGTGGAGCAAGCCCGCCGGAGTCTGAACCCAGTTGTGCTACTTCCAGGCTGTCAGTATTACCTACGGCCTTGGGCAAGCCACTTAACCTGACCTCAGCTTCCTCTGAGTGAAAATGAAGCTAAGAGTATACAAAATACAGACAGGAAGGTAAAAAAACACCTGTCGGCTGTCAAGTGCTCTGCAGGTGTGGGTGGAATGGGATACAATTTGAATGAGGCTTTAAAAACTTTTTCAAAAACCCAGAAAGCTTTCTCCAAACAAAACTGTGTAGAGAACTCTTAGATATCCAGCAAATTCAGGCAGGACCACCAGGTTACGCAGGGCTGTGTGCTGCGGGGATGTCCCCCTTCCCAGCAGTGGCCTTCATGGCTGGAAACCTCGGCTTGCAGGAACTTTCGACCCAAAAACTCAGATCCTGGGGAGGCCAGACTCCCCCAAAGAGTTCAGCTCCATGTGCAGGTCCTGGGGTCCTGACATGCCCCCCCCCCCCCCCCCAAGGAGACAGCAAGTTTCTGTTCCTGTCTGTACGGAGCAGGAGCCAGGGCCCCAGAGAGGAGAAATCAGGAGCCTGCAGCTCCCCCTCCCCCAGAGAGAACGTGGGTTCCAACAGCGTCCCCCCCTCCAGCGACAGGACCCCAAGGAGTCAGAGGGGCCTCAAGCCTTGAGAAAGGAGAGGCGAGGACCGAGGGGAAAGACAAGAAGCCACTAGACAGACGGCAGGATGGAGGCTCTTCCCTAGGGGTGACCTCCACGGAAGCCAGGAGGGGCCAGAGCAGGTGAACTTGCACTCAGCCTTGTTCATGACAATGAGGGTGTGGTCCCCAGTGCAGAGGCTGCACGGAAGAGTTACACTCAGAAGAGTTAGCACCATCAGACTTGCTTAAAAAGAATGGCACCTCTGGCAGCATGTGGAGAACAGATTGTGTGTGTGTGTGTGTGTGTGTGTGCACACCTGTGTGTGTATATCTGTGTTGAAGTAACCCAGTTAAGTGGTGATAGTGGCCTGGACTACAAAAATGACCATAGGAATGGGAAGCATCCCCCGGATGACAGCAGCAGGAGAAGGGGCACCTGTGTGAGCCCACGGCCCCAGGAGGGTGTGGGTAGGGTTGAAGGAGTGAGTGGGGACGTGTATATGTTGGGGGGTGGCATGGAACCACATTCGTCGTCCTCATCCCCAGCGGGAGCCAGGGCTAGGCGCCCGGGACACGTGAGGAAGGGGTACAGATGCTGCCACAGACCCAGGCTCTTTCTGCACCAGCTGGTTTGGACGTGGCTGTGTCTGGGGCATCTTTCTGGACAGATGGGGAAAGGTGTGACCCTGTGGGGCTGAGAGCTGCTTCAGGTGGGCGAGAGAACCATGCCGAGGCAAGGCATGGCCACTAGAAGGCGCCAAATGCATCAGAGTGAGGTTGCTATAGGTTGGATCCCCAGGCTGCCACCGGGAGACGGGTCTAGAGACAGGAGGACCAGAGAAACAAGGAGGTGGGGTGGAAGACTCAGAAAGAGGAGAGGACTGTGCACCCAGAATTAGAATCTGGTGACAGGGATGCGGGGGCTGGACCAGGCTGTCCTGGGAGATGCGGCCTGAGCAAGGGTACTGCATTGTGGGCTGAGTGCAGGGGTGCATGTGGTGGTGGTGGGGATGCAGTGGGGCAGGCAGGCCTCCTTCTGTGCATTCTGCATGCTGGGAAATGCACCGGGCAGCCGGCTGACTCCGCTCCACCCCTCCCCTCCCCGCCTCCTCACTTCCCACATCTGATCTACCAGCAGGTGCAGGTTCCACCTCCTACACGGCATCCCTGTCCCCACTGCCCTTGCACAGCTCTGCCATCTCGAGCTGCCTCCCTGTCCTTCCCCTTCCAAGCACCTCAAGCAGAGAGCTCCCTCCTCAATCTATCATGCTGCTCTCCCTGCTTAAGAACCTCTGGAAGATTCCTGCTGCTAGGAGCAACAGACCCACACTCCCCTGCCAGGCCCACAAAGCTCTCCTCCATGTGACTGTCATGGTTGTACTAGGGCAGCAGTGACAATGACAATGACAGCAATACCCACAGCCCTGGTGACAGTGGCAATGATAACACATCAGCCCACACTGGCAGTAATGACAGCGTGTGCATTGGAAGGACTTCCCAAGTCAAGCACCTCGCTAAGTTTGGGCCACGCACTGCCTCACCTGGTAGCCCATGAGGATCCTATCCTCCCCATTTAATAGGTGGGAAAACTGGCTCAGCGCAGCCTGGTTGCCATTGGTCATACCTGGTTAGAGATGGGTGAGAACCCAAGGTTATAATCTCCTGGCATGGACTGAAATCCACGCAGGCTGCCTTCACGGGCTCCGTTCTCCATCTTCCTGGCTGTCCTCTCACCTGTCTTCCTGCACTCAGGCTGTCCCACAGAGGACGCCCCAGGGCCCGCACTGCAAATGCTGCGCCTCTTTCCTCACCCGCACGTGCTGTCCCTCTGCTGTAAACACCCACCCTTACCCCTGCCCATCCGGGAAGCTCCTGCTCCTGCTCCTGCTCCTTCATCAGGACCCAGCTCCAATGTCCCTTCCTCTTGGGCGCCTTCATCACTTCCCCTTTGAGCCACAGAGCCCTTTGCACACCTCCAGGTGAGGGCTGACCACACTGCGTTACCTCTGCTGTTCGTTACATGCCTGGGGCTGCATCGCAGTCTGAACTCTGAGAGCAGGGGTGCTGCCTAGGTCACTTCCAGGGCCCCTTTCCCAGCACAGCGTCTGGCATACAGTAGGTGCTGAACAGTGAATGGGAGGGATCTCACCATGAGATCTGAGGCCAAGGTGTGTGGCAGAGCCTGACAAGCTCCCACCTCCCTGGCCATGCACCCCAGTGGCCCAGGAGCCCACAGGAGGAATGGGCCTTGGGAAGAAAGCTGATCCCTGAGAGATCAGTGGAGGTGTGATGTGGGGTGATAAGAGCCCCAAGCCACAGGGAGGGCTCAGGAGTTCACCGCAACAGGGGCAGCTGCTCAGGGGAGGGAGGGACTCACAGCACTGCCAGCAGCCGTGTCCAACGAGCAGCGAAGAGCACTGTGCTTCAAACCCTGACTCTGTCACTCACTCGCTGCTGGGTCTTGCCCAGAGAAAAATCCACCTCCCCGAGCCGCCCTGGATGACACGGCAGCCGCCAGTTATTAAATTAAATTAAATCCAAGATCCAGGCCCTCAGTCGCAGCAGCCACAGTCTGAGTGCTCTCTGGCCATGCAGGGGTCGTGGCTACTGTCCTGGTGAATGCAGACACACATTCACAGTGGATGGCGCTGACCCCAAGCCTCAGTTTCCAGAGCCCTCAATGGGGCTTTGCGAGAAGAGGTCGCGTGATGGTTTTAGTGACGATATTAGTACCTGGAGCAGGAGCTCGGGCCACCAGGAGTGCCTGGCTTTGATTCCTCGCTCCAGTTCCTGATTCCAGCTTCTTGCTAATGCAGGAATCAGAGGTGACGACTCACGAAATCGGGCTCCTGCCATTCAGGGAGGTGAAGATTACATCCTCAACTCCTGGCTCCGGCCCAGCCCTACATTACGGGAATTGAGAAGTGACCCAGCAGATGGGAGCGCTTGCTCTCTCTCTCCCTCTTGAATGAATAAATTAATACTTATCCAGTGTCAAGTGTTGTTTGAAGGGTTTGTACATGCACTCATTTGATCCTCACAACAACCCAACGAGATGGGCTCTTGTTCTGAGCATTCCTCCTTCACGGCTGAGGAAGCTGCGTCCGTAACTTTCCTGAGGTCATACAGCAAGAGAGTGGCAGGGTCAGGCCTTGAGACTGACCCTCTACCCTGACAGCCACACATCCCGCCCGCGGTGGGCAAGAGCCCTCGTGTTTCATCACCACACCCACAGCTAGGGGGCGCTGCCCCGCACCAGGAATGGCGGCTGTGTCTCCATTCTGGGGAAAGTAGAAGCACCCACGCACCCTCCAAGTCTCCACTCTCTGGGGTGTTTTAGGCACCCTCGAGGCCACGAAGCTGGGAGTTTGAGAGTTTCCACAGGCAGGATCCAGCAGGGGTGCTGAGGCAGCTGCCCGAGAGCAGGTGCTTGAGGTGGTGGGGGACAGGAGAAGCTGAGGGGACACATGGGGAGCCATGGAGTGCCCCCTCCCACTCCCAGGCTGCACTCAGGCCCATGTGCTCTGAAACTTGGGCCAGGGCACAGGAAGCTTCAGTGCGTTCACTTATTAATTCTCCATGCACACATTGAGCACCGACTGCATGTCAGTGCAGGGAAGATGCTGGGACACACCAACAAGCAGGAGACATGGACTGTGCCTGGGGAGGCTGGATCTGGGTGGGGGCAAGGCCAACGTCAAAGGATCACACTGACGGCCAAATCGATGAACTGCAAAGGCACGGGGCATCAGAAGGAACAGGATGCGTCTGTCACAGCTCACATTCCGGCCCCGGCTGTGCACCAGAGCTGACGGGGGAGCACACGGGGTCCTGCAGGAAGTGTGGAGGGGCGGGGCCCAGTGTGCACACAGCCCTGAAAAGCCAGGAAGCCCAGGCAGGGCCAGGCTTCGGGTGTCAAGGCTGAGAGTTTATTCTGGGGCCCGTGTGAAGGGAAGACACCAGAGAGCTCTGAGCCACACAGGGGGATTTTTGGCGTGAGCTTCCCCATGACTGCTACGTGGAGGAAGAACTACAGCAAGGCCAGGCCAGATGCAGGGAACCAGGGAGGGGCCCTGGTGGGAGCAGCCCAGCCCCAGGTGGGAGGGGACCTCTCACACTGCCCTGGAAAGGACACATCACGGCAGCCAGGGTTCAGGACCATGGTTCACAGCTGTGTGGCTACAGACAGGTCACATGACCCCCATCAGCCGCCCTTGTCACCAGGGTGGACGGGACGTCCCGGTGGATGTGAATGTGCTGTGTCATCTGTCAGCTCCACATGAACTTGCTGGGCTGGGCGGCGAGGACGCAGGGAACAAAGGCCCCCTGTCTGCGGGGCCTGCACAATGCGTGCACCTGCGCACACAGGGGCCCTGTGGGCACGTCTGTAACTGACACGCACGTCTCTGAAGCAGATGGCTGACAGGCAGCTGTGGCCCCTTCCCTCCCTGTGCCCTGTTCCGGGAGAGGGGGCACCTGTGCAGGTTGGGGGCAGGAGCAGGGACCCCAGGCTGGCCTTACCTGGTGCAGGGCTGTGAGTCCGTCTTCATTGCACAGATCGGGGCTGACCTTATTCTTCAGGAAGTAGCGTACTGCAACAGGAGGGGACATCAGTGAGCTTCCCGTCACAGCTGGGGCATGCAGGTGCGTGGGCCCAGGTAAGATCCCCTCTCCTGCAGGTCCCGGCAGTGTGTGTACCCCTGACAACCTCCCCATTTCACAGATGAGGAAACTGGGACGCAGAACGCAGGTCTGAGGCACCCCCTTGTCTTGTTATGGTAACAACATACCGTCTTAACAGTAACAAGGCTAATGGTGCCAGCCCTTCCTGTGTGCCAGGCACCAAACCGAACAACGGCCACTGGCTGGCCACAGCAAGCACTCTGCAGCCTGACAGCCTGGGTTCAAGCAGACACCAGTCTCTGTACGAGACACTTCCCTCTCCGGGCCTCAGTCTTTTCATCTGAAAAATGACAACAACGTGGCTCCCACTCTATGGCCACTCATGGAGGCAAGTCTCTTCAGGGCTGAGCAAGTGGCTGGCTTGTGGCTGGAAGGCAAGAGCCTGCTAGGGCAGCTGTGTTCACATTGTTACCTGAAGGTCTCCATGCCAGGAGACGGCTCAGCCAGAACTGTCAACGGCCCTGGAGGGGGCTTACCCAAGGCTGCAGCCATCTCCATTCCTAGCATTTACCCAGTTGTGTGTGTGTGCATGTGCATGTGTGTGTGTGTGTATGTGAATATGCATGTGTGGGTGTACAAGTGCATGCGTGTGTCAGTGTTCAGGAATGGATGGTGGGCAGGCAAGGACCTGGGGACAAGAGCAGCCAGACTGAACCTCAAAGACGGTTTCAAAATCCTCTGGGAAGGCAGGTGTGTCCCTGCCTTCCCATGGTGACTGTCTGTCCTGTTCTCTCCCAGGCCCTAGTTCTCACCCAGTACCCAGGTGCAGATGAAAGAAGGGAGCGGCTGGCCCACCTCCCTGCAGCCCCCTTCCCAGTCCTGGCAGCTGAAACTCTTGCTCTGGCCTCCCACTTTAGAAGAACCACCTCTGGCCAGCCTCCAGCTCTGCCTCTCCCTGTGGAGGGAGGAGTCCCTGGGACCAATGGGAGGAGTCCAGCAGAGCCCATCTTCTGGGCCACCCCTCTCCCATCCCTGGACGGAGCTCCCTGAAGGCAGACCGTGTAATTAGTGGGTGAGTGTCCCTCTAGGTCAGAGGTGAACAAAGGGTGGCTATTGTGGGACAAGCGGATGAACTTGGCCACACAAGCTGGCTCGTGTGTGAGGCCCTTGTGTTACGGTGATGATTAAGTTGAGGGTAGAGGCCCAGGCCCTGAACCTCCTCCCATCCCTACCAATCTGGCGCCCTCTGATATGTGAGCCAAGTCCCACTCCCAATGGCCACTGTGGACACTGGCTCCACACACGGTTCACGTACTATGGCAGGGCAGGGTGGTCTCCATTTGATTTGCCTCTCTGATGGGGATCAAACTGGGAGTGAGCTGTAGAAGGCCATCTATCCTGCTGGCAAGTGGGGGTCTCAGTGAGGCCGCAGGAGCCACGGGCACAGCACAGCCACTCAGCTCCAGTGTCACCAGCCCCAGCTCCCAGACCACAGCCCCACCTGTCCTCTGGACCTCAGCATGAACCAAGGTCCCAGCTGATGACCAGGTTGAGGCCCCCACCCAGCAAGGGGTGACCACTTTAGCAGACTTTCCCAAGATGCTTTGCTGCTAGAGGTGAGGCATGATGGGATCTTGCTCAGTAAGGGTCAGCTCCTTTTTATAGCTGCTCTAACATGGAGCCATTGGTTATACCAGGTGATAGTGGTATTTATATTCAAGTGAACAAGTGTTCAAAATTCAGTTCCCCAGTCATCTGTGCTCAGTTTCAAGGGCCCAACAGCCGCAGGTGGCTAACACCTTAGAAAGTGTCGAACACGTCCACCTTCACAGAAGATTCTACTGGAAAGCATGGCTTTGAGTCACTGGAAATAGAAAAGAGTCCCACCTCAAGCTGTAAAACCCTCCATGGCTCCCTATTGCTTTGGAAATAAAGTTCAGACCCCTGACGACAGCTCACAAGGTCCTGCGTGATGCGATTCCCGTCTGCAGGCCACCTCCTTGCATGGTTCCAGTGGGGGAAGGGGGGTATGTTATTCACATTGTGGTTTTCCACACTGGCAGCCCTGGAGCTGTGTGGTGCACAGCTTGCTCTGTTGTACACAGTGATCCTAATTCTTCAGTCTCATTAAGCTCCAAACACTTTCCACAATAGTCTTGCCAGCTACAGAGTTTCCTCTGACCTCTGAGTTTTTACATAGACTGTTTCCATTGCCTGGAAGACTCATACATCTATCCATCTGTCCATTCTTCCATCCATTCTCCAACACACATCCATATATCCACCCACTCACCCACCCACCCATGTATGTACCCATCTATTCATCCACCATCATCCCTGCATCCATCTGCAGCACGTACACACACACACACATCCCTACCTCACTCCTCATCCTTTAGGCTTCAGCTCAGATGCCCCGATATGTATACCCACAAGTCCTATAAATTCATTTATAGCCTTATCACAACTATAGTTACATAACTGTGTGTAACTGGGCCTTTGCATCTCTCTGCCAAAGGGACACTAAGTCCCAAGAAGATAGGACCATGACCTGGTAACTGTGGCTCTGTCCCCCAGGCCTGGCACACAGTCAGTCCTCAAGAATTCTTGTAGGGGTCCAGTGCTGTGATACAGCAGGTTGAAATTCTGGCTTGCAGCACCAGCATCCCATATGGGTGCCAGTTCAAGTCCCAGCTGCTCTATTCCTGATCCAGCTTCTGCTGATGTGCATGGGAAAGCAATGGAGGATGGCCCAAGCCCGTGGGCCCCTGCACACGCATGGGAGACCTGGAAGAAGCTCCTGGCTCCTGGCTCAGATCAGTTCAGCTCCGGCCATTGCAGCCATTTGGTGAGTGAACCAGTGGATGGAAGTCCTCTCTCTCTCTCTCTGTAACTCTGTCTTTCAAAATAAATAAATAAATCTTTATTTAAAAAAAATAATTCTTCCAAGACCCTCATCTGATTGACAACCCCCCAGTGCAGTCCCAGGACACAGCCTCTCCATCTCTGAGCAAGGCAGACACCCTGTGGTGCCGACTCTAGCAGACTCATGTCTGCTGTATGGAGCTCTGCCCAGGTCCCTCCTCCACAGCCGTGGCTGACCTGGGAGCAGGCTTACCTCAGGGCCATGTAAGGAGACTGTGGCAAAGCCAAAGGTCAATAAGGCCCAGCATGTCCAAGGGCAAGCGAGGGCTGCCCTGAGCCTGACAGGTGGCCTTTGGAGCAATAGAAGAGGCCTCTATGTCCCTATCCAGGATGGGTTTCTGGAAGGTCCTACTCTCAAGAGGCAAGGGTTCCAGCTCCATGGGGTGGGCCATGGAATAGGCTTCCCATCCAGAAGACACTCTTTGAGACTGAAAATAAGCATTGGCTGCCAAAAGCAGCATCTGTGCACAGTCATTATTGGGGTGCTCTCTGTACTGCAGGGGAGCCCAGCCATGTAATTACCCTGATGTCGGGCAGTTATTTTCAGCCCGAGAGGTGGGACAAATCACCCCTCTCTCTAAGAAGCCCTTAACAGTCAGAAGCCAAGGCCACCTCGGCAGTTCCACTTCCCAGCTCTAGATGGGAGACCGGAGCCTGGCTCGGGGCCCAGCTGGCTGGAGCAACGTCCCCACTACCCAGTGCATGAGCAGCTTCCCTGCCCCTGGGCTCAGCACAAAAGGAGTCCTCTATCACGGGTATCTTCTATGGAGCCTCTCCTAGGCACTCGGGTCAGTGCAAAGCTACTTTGCTTCAGGGGAGGAGACAGAGGGTCAGGGAGGCGCAGCCCATAGTCACACACACACACACACACACACACACTCAAATGCAGGGGCAGGGATGTGGCACCAGACCTCCCTGATTTCAGAGTGGGCTGTCCTACTCCAGCCCTGAGTCCAGGAATGGGAACATGCATTCCTAGGGTTGGGCAGAGGGTCCAGACCTGCACTGAGAACTGGTGTGGAGAGGAGGGTGATGGGAGAACAGACAGCAGTGACCTCTGCTCTGGAACTGCAAGCATCAAAGGCCCTCAGGTCCCAGGCCAAGTCTCTTCTTGCAGACAAAAGGGCTCAGGAAGCCACAAATAGGACAGAAGGGACTACAGCTGCCATGTGTGTATGTGTGTGTGTGTGTGTGTGTGTGTATCTGTGTGTGCTGGGGTGGGGGAAGGAACAGTTAGGTCTTTTAGGGCCTTTTTATTTTTTAAATGACTAAGTCTTATTTTTCAGATTATTTATTTATGAGGGATAGAGAGAGAGTACCCATCTGCTGGTTCACTCCCCAAAGGCCCACAAAGGCTGGGGCTGTGACAGGGTTGAAATCAGGATCCAGGAACTCAATCCAGGTGGGTAGCAGGAACCCAACTGAGCCATCGCTGCTGTCTCCCAGGGCTTCCATCAGCAGAGGCCGGAGTCAGGAGCCCGAGGCAAGAATCAAAGCCAGGTAACCTGACGTGGACGTGGGCATCCAAACAGCATCTGAAACCACTAAGCCAAACCCTGCCCCAGGACCATCTTAAATGTAAATACGCTTCCCCTCACACCCTGCTTAAACCCCTCTCACAGCTGTACTTTGCTGTTAGAATCAGGGAGCTGTGGCCCAGGGGCCAAAGCTGGCAGGCAGTTTTATTGAACACAGCCACACTCATTCATTTGCATACCGCCTACGGCTGCTTTCACTGTACAACAGAGACTGCACGGCCTGCCCAGCCTAAAGGACTGACTCTGGGTCTTTTCTTTCCAGAAAAGATCTGCAGACCCCTGGTCTTCAAAATACCATATGGCATGGTCCCACCTCTAACTCCAGGGGTCACTGTTCTCATCAAAACCTCTGTGAATGGGGGGGTGCCTTGGAATTGAGCAGTGTGCAGCCTGCCCCACCATACCCAGATGCCCAGATGGGCCAGTCTTCCTTCCTCTCTGGCCTCATCTCTTGCTTTCTGAGCATTCTGCACAATGACAGAAGCTGGTGCGGGGCCTTCGGGGTT